AACTCAGAATCTCAATAGTAAGCAAATGTTGTAGCTTTCAACAAAATCCCTACGCTAACAATAAGATTAGAAGTATAGAAAGCTAACTCAATTCCTACGATTACTAAGTTTGGCAGAGATAGTTGAACAAGACCTTCATGAATCAAATCAAACCACAAGAGAGAGTTAAACTAAGAAAGTACGAGAGTAGGTGTCACGACCCGACCCGGTGAGCTCGTAAAGGACGAGGCTGGAACGGAGATCGGACAATAGAAATTAAAAACCTTTACATTACAATATATAAAACATCTCCAAATCATAAAGAAAGAGCCACTAAGCAAAAATCAAGAGAAATTTTTCTTTATTACTATTCATCCATCAACATATCAACATAACAATTCAAACATAAAGTTTCTAAAATATAAAAGATGTCCAAAAACCTTTCCTTACATTTCATCTTTAGTCCTTCAAACTCAAAACATCAAAAACAAAAAGACAAAACCTATTGCCCGTCGTTTCCCTACGACGGTACGTAAGGGGGGTCTATTTGCCATTATCTTTTATCAGATTCTCCTGAAAAGTGTCTCATAAGCAGGGTGAGTCACAACTCAGTAGATGAAAATGACATTCAAATAAAGTTAGAAACAAGGAAGGGACTACAACATGCTTCTATTTCTCAATAAATGAATAATCAACATGTCATAACATTTGTCTAAAGTGAATCATGCCTTTACATCAACCTTTAAGTTCTCTTTCTTTGCCTAAACTTGAAATTCTTTCTCTTTAAGCATTCATGTCTCAATAGAAGCGTCATATGCATATAATATAAAGATATAATATTCATAATATCATAATATATAACAACCGTCTCGGAAATATCATTTGTACTGATCAGGTACACATTAATCGACCATTCCTTTACCATTTGGTTCAAAAGAACACCTTTACGATTTGGCACAAAAGAGCCCCATTATCATTGCTCAAAAGAGCTCATTTATCATTGATACTTCCGCGTCAACATGCACATGCATATATTCCTTACTTATTCATAAAAGAGGTTTATGTAAACTATTCAAGTCTATGTTCTCATATGAAAATACATGTTTGCTACTTACATGAGAAAAGAGATATACTCAAATGTATATTGCAAGTAAAGAGAAGACATATGTAATACTTGTAAAGAAAGAAACATGAGATTTATCATTGGGTTCTAATAATGCATAAAAACATTGCTTTTACATCATGTGATCATGAGCTTCTATAAATAAAACATGCTAGTCATAATGATGTTACAAAGAGCATAAAGAGAAATGTCATTTCTACACGTTTGCATGTAAAGAGCTTTCTAAATTTAAGAGAATTTCATTTCACCTACCTCACCACAAAGTGATTCGTCAAATGTCCCTACAAACCTTTCCCTTTACGCAATCAAAATGTACAAAAGATATACATAAGGTGTAAGCATTAATTTGTTCCCTCTTAAACTTCTAAAAGGCCCTAAATTATGAACATGTAACTATTCCATACATCATGCTTTGACTTTCTAAATAACCCCTCCCAATTCATGATAATTCCATTTTTATTTCTACTAAAATTAGGATTTTATTATAACTCTAGCTTTTGGAAAGCCTCATTCAAATCTTTTGCTCACCTCAAGCATATAAACATTCTCTTTCACTTAAACTCAAGTTAACATACAACAAATTATCGGATTTACCTAATTTAAAATTTAGAAAAATAATATTTAGTGCTAAAGCTAAAATCTTTTGCTTTAAAACCTCCCTAAGCTCAGATAGGAACCAACACTCTTAAAGTTTTCATAGTTTTGGAAAGCCCTAACTTTGGAACATGAAAATTGTCTTCTAAAAAAAGAACTATCTTCACAAATAAGCTTCATAACATCACTAGGAAACTTTCCTACAAAGACATTTTGAAAGAAAATGAAAATCGGAGAAAATCCTAAATTTTAAAATTCATATTTTTCATGAAATCAACTCATTTTTTGGTTTAGAAACATCCCCCTACCCTACCCTATCTTTATCTTAAAGAAAATTAAGTTTTTACAAAACCCTAGATTTCCCCCCCAGAGAAAACTCCATGAAAAGAAGATAAAACTCTTGCAAATGACGTACCTTATCCTTCCTTATGATTTCCCTTCAATTCTCCTCGCAAACCGCCGCCGGAAACCACCCCTAGGCTCGCCGTTCCTCCTCCCGTCGCCTCCTTCACGTGGCTTCCGCTCGGTTCGGGCCGCAAAAGGAGAATGGGGGACCGAGACATTTCGGCCCCCTTATAAGAGTGGGAAGCTCATTCTATTAGCCTAATGTCCTAAATGCCCTCACTTAAGTTATCCAAGCTTTAATAAACACTAAGGGTATTATGGGCATTAATGTACTTCTATGAATTTTAATTTCTAAAATGAGTAAAATTAGACATAAGTTTTATACATCAAATTTCTTAGAATTTTGTGTAGAATTTTATAAAATTATTTTCGTCAAAATCCGACGACTTCGAAAGTTTCACTTAATCTCGTTGTGACACATTGAAATGCGTGCGACGCTGAAGATTGTTACTTTTCGGGTTTTACAGTAGGACGATTGGAAGACCTTTGTCACGGTTTGGACGTAATCCACCACTGAACGGTACCAAGTTGCTCCTCTTCGGCTTCAGTGAGAGTATCTAGAATGCGCTCCACGTACTCTTTGACAGTGTGGTCAATATTCGGATTGACGTCGAAGAAAGTGGAGTGAAGGATGTGAACGAACCCTTGTTTGTCACAGGCGATGCCGTAATCAAGATCTGGATCGGCCATGCATCTCGTTCGTAGGATTGATATGTTTTAGACGACGTCCTTTTGTCTTCCTTAAAAGAAAGCAAGCCTTCAAATGGTGGAGAAGGATGAAGGAGCTCCCTTGTCAAAATCTTTGTGGAGAACCTTGATTGGGATGCAAAAGGGGAGAGCATTTAATGTGGGGGAGGGAAATTTGAGAGAGGGGTGGATAGGAGAGAGGGCCGGCGGTATTAGAGAGGTGAAGGCTTTAATTTATTTCCAAAAAGGAGAGCTTCTCCTTTGGAAATAAATCAAATAGGTGGGGTTAGGAGTTTTCGGCCAAGGAGGTGGAGGATGGAATTAGGAATTATTTCCAAGAGGGGCTTAATGGGTTTTGGAAATATATTCCAAGGGATTTATTAAGGGGGCCGGCGACAAGGGGCTAGGGAGGGAAATTAAGGAAGCTTTTAATGCTTCCTTAAATTAGGTAATGAGATTTGGTTAATTCCAAATCTCATTAAAATCAAATAGGAAAGGGTTTGAAAACTTTCCTAAAATAGCTTTCTTAAATTAGGAAATAATTCAAATTCAAATAATTTTGAATTTTGAATTTAAACTTTCATAACTTAAGAGTGATTGCTTATGGAAAGTTTTTAAGAGGGAGTTGAATTTGTGGAGGGAAGATGAGGAGGTGGGGTAGGGCTGGCGGCTTGGTGGGTTTGTGCGGAGTTTCAGTGGAGGGATGGTGGGTTATGAAGGCCGGCGGCTTGGGTGGTGAGGCGGGGTTAGGTGGCCGGCGGCTAGGTGACGAAGGGAAATGAAAAATAGATAAAGAAGAAGAACCACAAACTCGGCCGTCTCCAAGGTTGGTGGGTGATCCAAATTCCCTCTCCAAGGGACCTTGCTCCAATCTCTCAAGCTCTCATAAGAACTCAAACAAGGGAAAATTTTTTGTCATTCAATCATTAACATGAAAAGAAACAAGAGGGCTATATATAGCCTTGTACAAATGACTCAAGAAAATAAAAACACGATGATGCCCTCAGGGCTTACATACGACCTCCCTTAAGTAAAGTGTAAAAACGGAAATACCAATAAAGCAAATATAACGTAACATAATAATAAAGAAAATGCATAATATGACTCAGAAGTACATCGACTCAATCGTGGCCATAGATCGACGTCCACGTCTCTGATAAACTTTCCAAGCTTTGATGTCCCCATCAATAGTTTAGTTCATAGTTTGAGTAGAGATTCACGTTTATGTCTAGGACTATTTGCACATTGGGATTCCCTATATATTATGATATTATGTTCATATTTTTAAGAGATGGAGTATTGTTGCACTTATAAATTTTTAGGCTAGAAAATTGATTTGTCGACATAAAGTTTATTCTGATCGAGAGCATATTTCGATGCATTTCTTGGATCTCAAAACACCCAAGTATTTGGATTAGAAATTTCACATTCAAAATTTCAACTTTCAGTAACTTATAATCAAGATAGCGTGGTTTAACAAGGAGTACTCAACAATGCCATAAAAACATGAATTTGAGTTCAATTGAGCTTAAATAAATTACAAACATGGATAATTCTTGAGGCCATTGGAGGGGCAAATGGCTTTTGAATTTCACAAGCTTACAATTGAAACGAGTATTTTGATGGTACAAAATTGAATGAGTCCAAGCTTGCTTAATTATGATTTTGTCAAGACTTGAAGTTGTTCAAGAAAATTAGCATGATTACATTTTAACTAAGTGTTAGCTTGAAACCACTGAGTATGAAGCTCAATCTTCAAAATAATTTTAAGAGAGCTTCACTTTGAAGTGCAAAAAAAGCAAGCTTTAGGGCGATTATATTGAAACATAGGTGAGATGTTGGTTGGGACATAAGGAGAGATCTAGCCTATTAGTTTTTTGAATTATTCTGTATGCTGCGACATTAGCTGAATATAGAAGGTTTTTCCTTTGATAATTTCTGGTTACTCTAGGTGTGCATGGTGACCCATGGTTCATTTTTTTTTAATTCTTTTTACGGGTTCAAATTCATCAATTTTATTTGTTTTTGTTTCCCATAAAGTCTGGCATGTATCTGTACTGGTTGGCTGATGAACATTTTTGATACCAAGTGATCTCGCGGTTAATTCACAAATGTTATAGTGCATTTATTTTGGTTCCATCATCATTTTTATTACCTGTAGTAATGGAAACATTCTTTTTCGCATCTTTACAATTTTTTTTTTGTTTTCCAGGAGGGAGCTCCATGAAGAGCTGGGCATAAGTCTTCCGAATGATGCTTTTGAATTAATATTTGTCTTTCTTCAGGAGTGGTAAAACATAATCATTTTTCCTTCAATCATATCCGCTAATGTGTTATAGTAATTTTGTCCTAAATTAAATATGAAGTCTGATTTGCTATGATTTATTTTCTTTTGGCATATCATGTATTTAGTTATCTGTTTATATCACATTGCAGATTATTTTTCTATATAATAAGCATATTTTCCTCATTCTATCTGGTTTAGGATGGGGCTATGTATTAGAGGAGCCAAAGCCTTAGGGAACGGGGAAGAGAAACCTGTTACATCATCGGGAAATGTTTCCGGTATATAGAATTTACTTAAAGGAGATGGTGTAGAACACAACATATGTGTGAAAGAGGTTGAGCTAATGTGTTACTTAAGTGTGATGAAGATAGTTTATTTGTCTTATCGGTAAGGATAAAGTTTAATGAGGTTCTGGAAGTCTTTAAATTTCGTTTAGAGTTAGTTGCTGTTATGGACCGGTCTAGCCGGTCCCATATGGACTGGATCACATGAAACAGGCGGACATTTTCTGCCTGTCTATGCTGCCGACCGAACCACAAATCCCACAGAGAAATTTAGGAAGGATTTTTGAGGGAGTTCGGTGGGAAATTTGAATGTAGGGATTGTTTAGAGATTTTATTTTCAATTGACGAGCTGTCATGCCTTGTTGTTGTGGAGAAATTCTTTTTGATTTTAATAATGTGATCTGAAGTTAACACCGCTAGCAATCTCCATCAAGAAATCATCATATCAATAAAACTTCAACGAACACATTCTTTTAATCCCTTCATGGCTAGAATGTGTGAAGTGCGTGGGAAGCTTCTTAAACTCTTTTGAAGTGGACAGTCAGATTGACTATTCTCTTTTTATGATTTGATATCCTTATGAATAATACATCATTGCCTTAATATTTTCAGACAAATTGTGAAGCGGATTGCTAATTTTGTGGAAGAATCTTCTTTATATTCTTTCAAGATAGAGAAGAATAATGACCATGATGATGGTATGTAGGGGCACAATAGAGAAGACTTAATAGGGTAGGAGACTTGTTGATGTGAAACCAAATATGCAAGGATGATTAGATTAAGGAATTTGCACGCTTAATATTTAGAGCACGATAATTATATCTTTATAGTGATTTCGAATAACAACATAAAACACAAAGAGCGGTGACATAAGCTTAGGCTAAATCATATGTGTAGGAGTTAAGCCCGTAAAACAATCAATTAGTCTAACATTGCATACATGGAAAGTTTTAACAAGAAATCCCTAGACTAACAATGAGATTAATACTATGAAGGATCCCTCACACAACTCTATAATTTACTAGGTTTTAGCGGAGGACCAACACGATCTCAGTACAACAACAACAACAACAACAACAACATCAAGCCTTTATCCCACTATGTGGGGTCGGCTACATGAATCTTTTTTCTCCATTGTGTCCTTTTAAAAGTCAAATTCTGATGTCCTTCCTATGCCCATCGACCTGTTTTTTCATAATCTGTTGAGCTCTCAGTAGATGTTTCTTTAATTCTTCTAATACTCAATCCCTTTCCTTTAAGTACTCCTCTACGGAAGAGACTGGAGTACTGCTACTCCCAAAGTGTACTAAGTGAGGGGGGTCCCTTCCGTACAGCATTCCACTTTGAATGAAGTCATTTGTGAAGCTGAGTGAAAAGAGGTGTTGTACCAGTACTCTACTCAGGACAACCATTTGATCTAAAGTTTGGGTGTCTCCGACACAAAACATATCAAATAGGTCTCCAAGCTCCTATTGACCACCTCTGTTTGGCCATCTGTCTGTGGGTGGTAAGCGGTGCTCCTTTTTAGAACTGTCCACTGTAACCTGAACAATTCTCTCCAAAAATGACCGAGGAATACCTTATCTCTGTCTGACACAATCACCTCTGGTATGCCATGTAATCTGACCATCTCTCTAATGAATGTTGAAGTCACTATCACCGCGGTGTAAGGATGTCAGAGGGGAATGAAATGAGCGTACTTGCTCAATCTATCCACCACTACCAAGAGTACTATGAAGCCTTCTGAACAGGGCAGCCCATCTATGAAATCCATGGATATCTCCTCCCAAACTCATCCTGGTAGTGCCAACGGCTGTAGTAGTCCTCCTGGTGACATCGCCAAATATTTGTTCCTCTGACAGATCTCACACCTTGCCACCATCTCTTCTACATCTCTACGCATTCCCTTCAAGTTAAGCTCGGCCGCCAATCTTTTATAGGTCTTCTGCACTCTTGAATGGCCCCTCACTGCGCTCCCATGAAATTCCTGGAGTAGATTTGGGATGTGGATCGAGGTCCGAGGCATCATAAATCTTCCCTGATATAGTAGTCTGTCTCCCTCTAATGAGTACCCTGGATGGCTACCCTCCTCTTTTAGCAAAGCTGCCTTGATTCTTCTCAGTTCTTCATCTCTAGCACTTTCTTCCCTGATAGCCTCCCAGTCAAGCATCAAAGGAACGGATAATGCCACTGCCTGCAGTTCCCCCATGCATCTGGACAAAGCATCCACCGCTTTGTTCTCTACTCCTGGTCTGTACTGAATCTCAAAGTCATACCCTAGCAATTTGGACAACCACCTTTGATGCTCTTCCGTCACCATCCGTTGTTCTAGTAGGTATTTCAGGCTTCGTTGATCTGTCCTGACTATGAAATGTCTCCCCAGCAGGTAGGGCCGCCACTTCTGGATGGCTAATGCGATGGCCATTAATTCCCTCTTGTACACTGACTTCAGTCGGGCTCTAGCGGTCAATACCTGGCTAAAATAGGCAATGGGTCTGCGACTCTGCATCAGTATTGCACCCAGCCCGTATCCTGAAGCATCTGTCTCCACAATAAAGGTCTGAGTGAAATCTGGCAAGGCTAGGACCGGTACCATAGTCATTGCCTTCTTCAAGCTCTCAAATGCTGCTGTAGCTGCTTTTCCCCATAGGAACCCATCCTTCTTTAATTGTTCCGTGAGTGGCCATGCTATGGAGCTATACCCTTTTAAGAACCTCCTGTAGTAACCCGTCAGTCCTAGGAATCCCCTTAATTCTTTCAGATTTTTTTGCACTGGCCACCTTATCATAGTTTCAATTTTGGATTGATTCGCTGCAACTCCTTCTTTAGATACCACATGGCCCAAGTATTCTACACTGGCTTGTGCAAAACAACATTTCTTCAAGTTAGCCCTCAGCTGGAGCTCCTGTAGTACCTCTAGCACCCTTTTCAAATGCTCCCAATGCTCCTCTTCTGTCCTGCTGTAGATTAGGATGTCGTCAAAGAATACTAGTACAAATCATCTGAGATAAGGTTTGAAAATCTTGTTCATAAGGGCCAGAAAGGTAGCTGGAGCATTGGTAAGGCCAAACGACATCACCAGGAACTCATAATGTCCTTCATGAGTTCTAAAGGCCGTTTTGGGTGCATCATCCTTCATTCGGATATGGTGGTAACCTGATTTTAAATCTATCTTGCTGAAAATCACGGTTCCACTGAGTTCATCTAGTAGCTCGTCAATGATAGGTATAAGAAACTTGTCTGGTACAGTTTCCTTGTTGAGTGCTCTATAGTTCACACAAAAGCGCCAGCTGCCATCCATCTTTTTTACTAACAGAACAGGGCTAGAAAAAGGGATGCTGGGTCTGATGATCTTTGCCTCCAGCATTTCTCTAATCAACCTCTCTATCTCATCTTTCTGGAACTGAGGGTAGCGGTAAGGTCGGACACTGATGGGTGACACTCCCTCTTTCAACACGATGGCATGTTCCCGCTCCCTCAGCGGTGGCAATCCCTAGGGTGGCTGAAACACCTCTTGGAACTGCTGAATCAACGGCTGGATGGAGAGGGGTATGTCTCTTCCTTCTTCCACTCTTATTCCCTCTATCCTCCGCATGCTAACTGGATATCTTTCACCATCGTTTTAAGAGAAACTAGGGATTTGGAAAGCCCCGTGTCCCCCTTAATTACTACCTTCCTTCCGTCCACCATCTACTCCATCGTGAGTGCTCCCCAATTCACCTTGGTGTCACCCAAAGTTTGCAGCCATTTCATCCCCAGGATGACGTCCGTGCTCCCCAGCTCTAGTGGAAGGAAGTCCTCCCTCACCTGTATCCCCTAGATCGTCAGTCGTACTTCTCTGCAAATCCCCTGACATTTCTCTATCTTCCCTGTCCCCATCATCACTCCGTAATAGCCCGTGTCCACCAATTTTATTCCCAGCTGGTCTACGACTTGGGTGAAAATGAAATTGTGGGTAGCTCCACTATCAATTAACACCACCACCTCCATGTCCTCTATCTCTCCCGTCACTTTCATGGTGTGATTCATAGTGAACCCCACCACTGAGTTTAGGAAAACCTCAGCGAAATCCAAGTGTAGCTCCTCTTCTCCTTCTGTCACCTCCTCACTTCCCTCAGTTTCCTCTTCATCGCAGACGGTGAGAACCTGAAGAGTTCGGTTCTTGCACCGATGTCCTGGTGTGTACTTTTCATCACATCGAAAGCATAAGCCCTTAGCCCTCTTCTCCTGCATCTCTTTCTCTGTCAGTCGTTTGAAGTTTCCTCAGTTTCCTCCTGTCTTCTCCTTGGTGGCTTCTCTATTCCCTCCTGTTGTAGGGCCTTTCGGTGCGAGATGAGTGGTTGTCATCCTGTACGTGCCCCCGATGCTGCTACTCCTGGCCCCCTTCTCCAAATGCTTCTGATTTTCCATCAGTTGGGCCAACTTCATGTCTTCCCCTAGGTCACGGGGCATCAACACCTTTATTGCTGCTCGGATCTCTGCCTTCAACCCTTTCATGAAATTTTCCTCTAATACTGTATCTGAGAGTCGCTCCACCCTGCTAGCTAGGTGCTCAAACGGCTCCCGGTAATCTGCTACTGATCCCTCCTGTGTTAGAGCAAAGAACTGCTCATGGAAGTCTCCTCCTTGATCGGTTTGAAAATGCTATATTATGCAATCTTTAAATTCCCTCTAATTTCTGATCGGTCTACTCTGGTCTCTCCATTGAAACCATGACAGGGCTTTCCCTTCTAAGCATAATCCGGCTGTCGTTAGCTTCTCTTCCTCTGTTAGCCCATTGACGGCAAAGTATCGTTCCATTTTGTAAATCCACCCATACGCGTCTTCTCCTTCTAATATGGGCATCTTCAACTTCCTTACCTTTTGATCCCCCCATTGCCTCAGATTCTTCCATAGTTTTCCTTTCCCAAGTGCTAGGTGCACCCCAAGTTTCCCGATCTTCTCTTGCCCTGCCATAGCCCAAACCCCCTTCAAAATCCCCTCTTCTTCCTTCAAATTCAGCACCACGACGGCTGTAAAACCCGTCATGGCGTTCCCACTCAGCCCTTCCTTGCTCCGCTCCCCCATATCCATACCTTTCTCCATGTCGATCTCCTCTTTCTTCCCTATGGAAAGGCTCCATATAGGGCCTTCTTCTTCCCCCTTCCACGATTT